AGATAAAAATGAAGGAGAGAATCTTAGAAGCAGCAAGAGCTAAGGGGACAGTCACCTACAAAGGAGTTCCCATCAGACTGTCAGCTGATTTCTCAAAAGAGACCTTACAGGCAAGAAGGGGCTGGAAAGAGGTATTCCAAGTCATGAAAACCAAAGATCTACAACCAAGATTGCTCTACCCAGCAAAACTTTCATTTAGAATGGAAGGACAGATAAAGTGCTTCTCAGATAAGACCAAATTCAAGGAGTTCATCATCACCAAGCCCTTATTATATGAAATGTTAAAGGGACTTACCTAAGAAAAAGAAGATAAAAAAGACGAACAGTGAAAGGACAGCAAACTCACAGTTATTAAGAACCACACCTAAAACAAAAGCAAACTAAGAGGATAGCTAGATCAGGAGCAGAACCAGAGAAATGAAGATCTCAGGGAGGGTTAGCAATAGGGGAGTGGGAGGAGGGGAAGGGGGGAGAAGGTACAGAAAATAAGTAGCATAGATAGTAGATAGAAAATACATAGGGGGAGGGTAAGAATAGTAGGGGAAATACAGAATCTAAAGAAATTGAGACACATGTTCATGAACTAAAGGGGGAAATGGTGGGGGAGGGGTATGCAGGGTGGAGGGGAAGGGAGGGGGGAATAGAGCAAATGTAATGGCATAATCAATAAAAAAATTATTAAAAAAAAAAAAACATGATTTCAACCTAAAAAAAAAAAAAAAAAATCTGACCTGAAAGATGGTTGGAGAGTTACCAGCTGGCAATGGGAGGTAAAGATGCAGATACGTGGAATGACAGCTTAATTGTAGCAGACAGCTATTTACTGGCGCCAGTTCCTGTGTGGGTCTGGGTTTTATGGGTTTCCTCGGAATCTTACAACAAACCCCCCACTTTCTGGAGCTAGTTGGAATGGTCTTGGCTTCTGGAAACCAAAAAATGCTGCCTATAAACATGGGCCTGGTGTTCCTCTCTTGGTATTACAGAACCACGAGTCTCTAACCAAACCTTAAAGTTGCTGCTGGAGGTGGAAGCAGAACCCCCTCCCCATATACACTCCTTGCTTCCAATCAGGAAGATCATCAACAGTCCTGATGGTGTGGCTCAGTTGGTTGGGCATCATTTTGTGAAGCAAAAAGTTGCTGGCTGATTCAACCAGCATTGGTTGATCCAACCAATGACACATCAGAAACTCTGATAAGTGACCGATGACAGAAATAATGACTTGAGTTGATATCTTTCAGTTAACGTAACAAAAGCTTCTTTTCTGGGACAAAATACGTTTGCCTGCCAAGAAAGGCATATAAAAGACATTTACATAGAATAAAATTGATAATGCAATTTGGCCAACCTCACGCACAGCCACAGCAGAAAAGCAATAGAAGAGAATATTAGGCACAACATTTTAATGCTTAAAGCTTCCGCTTTAACATCTCTTTAAAGAAAATTGACAATGAATGCTTTTCATATCATTTAGCTGTTCTTCTAAGAAACAGAGTTGGTAGCCCGTTCTCTCTCTTTATCACAGAAAGCCACATTACTTAATCCAATGTGATCCTGGACAAGTTATTTAGCCTTTCTACATGTCAGTTTACTGATGTGTAAAATGGGCCAGCAATAACCACTTCTCAGGATTGCTGACAGGATTAAACACGGTAAAATATAAAAGGCACTATTATAGTGAGATGCAACATATAACATGGCTTACTAGCATTTGAAGTATTACTATCCCAATCTAAAAGATGATGAAAATGATACTGTTATGAAGATCAAATACGGTAAAGAAAAAAGCTCTGAGAAAAAACCAGAATGAAATGGAGGCCAGCAAAAGCCAGAAAATATGTACCACAGAGGGTGGAACAATTGCGATCTTGACAGTAAAGCAGTTAGAGGACCTAAGTTCTGCTAAGCTATTTCAGACCCTGTGAGTCACCCTGAATTTAACAAGTGATTTGTAAGAGCAATAAAACCTGTTGGGACTTCATCCAAAAACAACTGTAAAATTAATTAAAAAATTTGACAGGGGGTCTGGAGCTCCTGAATGCAGCTGCCTTCCAAAGGCTGCTGGGTGTGATTAGATGTTCAAAGTGACAAGACTTCAAGCTCTGCCCCTTAGATGACTAACATTTCTTAATCCTCTCCCCTCGAGGAGGCAGTCCTTAAGGCAGGGATATCCCTTCCGCGAGAGAGGCTGCCTCTTGGTAAAGCTGAGGAGAGCCTCAGCCCGCTCCACCCCCCCCTTCCTTCCAACCTCCAACACCACTAGGAATTTCCCTTCCCTTCGTCCATCAACACTGGAGCCAAGCTAAGCCTCTCTCATCATTATCTGTGTAGTGCAGAGCGCCCTCCCTTCCTACCTCTCAACCTTTCTCAACCTCCCTCTCTCTTCCTCCTTTTCCTCTCCTTCCCCTCCCTCTCTCTCCACATATCTCTCTCTTCTGCACCCCACCCACTCATGGCCTCCCTTCTCTCCGCCAGGAACTGCTAGGACCACACACAGAGCCTTACAGACACAGCTGACCACACGGAACATGAGAATTACAGAACACGTTACTCTCAGTCTTGGGTGCCTTGTGGCCTTGGCCGTGTACCCAATTTTAAAAGCAAGTCACAGGTCGCCAAAGTTCAGGACAAGCTGCAGCATCAAAGATTGTGCTTTCCTTTCTCGGGCAAAGATTTTATTGGCTCGCTCTCTGACAAAAGGCTGGTAATTCTATCTCCAACAGGAAATTCTTTGCGCACTTTGAAATAAGGACTCCAAAGTGGAAAATAACAACCAATAAAGATAATCAGAGAGTCCTCTGACCACCGGCTCCCACCACCCCCGCCCCCAGGAAAAGCTTTCCACCCTGGGGGTGCGGGAGATAATTAGCCGTGAACTGACCATACACATCACAATATATTCCCAGGTCATTGTAAGTAACTAACATCATTTGCCCCACTAAACCATCATGAAAGTTGGATTTTCTTGTTTTAGTGTCTCCAAAAACTCAAGCACGGTGGGTCTTTCAGGGACTTTCAGATCTTAAAAACAGAAGGAATACTCCCGCCCTGGCCCCAACTCTGCAGGGGTAGGAGCTGGATTCCCACAGGGCGGGGACAACTGCCTGACATTCACCTTGTGCAACATGCATATTCTATCGGAAAGGGTCATACTTTTTTTTTTTTTTAAGATTTGATTCATTTACTTTTAGAGAGAGTGGAAAGGAGGGAGAGAAACAGCAATGTGTGAAAGATACATCGATGGGCTGCCTCTCGCACACCCCCCAGATGGGGACCCAGCCCAGAACCTGGGCCTGTGCCCTGCCTGGGAATGAACCTTTTGGTTCACAGGCCAGCACTCAACCCACTGAGCTACATCAGCCAGGGTGGGTCATACTTTTAGACAGAAGCTAGCTTTCGGAAGAGAGCTGGCCAGGAGATAGGGGTAGGGAAAGGAAAAAGTGGCTTGTAGTTTTAGGGAGAAAAGGAGAAAACAGGAAGAATTTGGGGCCAAATAATCCTAACGGTAAGCCCTAGGGACTTTAGTGGTCCTTTAGGTTGGAGGCTTCAACCCAGGCCTCATATGTTTGGACTTCAAGGATTCTGTGTTCCATTGGCATATAATGGTTGTCGAACGAACGTAAGCCTGCATTTAAAAAGTGGGAGATTGCCCCTGAAAACGGATCCGGCAACTCCGGCCCATTTCTCCTCACGGCAGTCACAGGAGGCGCAGAGGGACGGCTGGTGCTCAGTGCCACACGTGCTCACACGGTGGCGCTCCCGATATCCCCCCACCCTTGCCACCTCTCTCCACCCAGGACCTCACTGTTTCACTTCTCTCCCTGCCTTTGGGGACATTTGAGTTTACGGCGCTTGATCAAGGCCACTGTAATTTGTCCTACAAGTGGAAAATATGTAGCCCGGGCGGGGCCGTCACGTGCTCACGATCGCACCACTTCTCAAAGCAGAGCTGCCCAAGAACCCGACTCCTTCCTGCACAGCCAAGCATGCCTGCACCTCCCTTCTTCCTGCAGCATCTGGAGTGAAGAAACCAGTCACACTGGCATCCTTGTCCCCGAATCTCCTCCCAGCTAAGCAGTCTTTGACCTTAGAACATCTCGCTCTGAGACCCTTGTGCCCTCACAGACTAGTCACTGCGAATTACCATGTTCTCAAGTAGAAACGTGAACAGGCCTCCCACGGACCAGGCCCAGAGCTCTGTGCACACTCTGTTCGCCTTCACGGAGATGCTGGGAGAGGCGCGTTATTAACACCATTTTACTGATGAGACAGGTAAGGCTGAGGGCAAGGGCACCCAGACAAGTGCAGGGCTGAGCTGCCCGCCCTTGAACCCAGGCCTTTCGGATCCCAAAGCCTGTACACTGGCAGCCCGCCTTGCCGCCTTGCAAGTATCCACCACTTCCCCAATAGTAATAATAAAAAAAGACCTAACTGGGTCCTGAAAGTTAAACAATAGAGTCCTGAGTAAAACCTCAGAAAGGGCTTTCGCCTCCCCAGCTGGAATTTTGACTGCGCTTTTGTTTCCACACCAGCTGCCCACCTGCACAGTCAGTACCCGCAGGGAGGCACCCTGCCTTACACGGTTTTGTCTCTTTGATGTTTACAGAGTTCACTTAATGCCACTCAGAGTTACTAGTCAACAGCTTCTCGTTTCAGTTTCTGACCCAATTTTACTAAAACGGGCCCCTCAGGATGCACGTGATGGTTCTCAAAAAGGCCCTATCTTCTCTGCACATCACTTCTCCCTTCTTCTGCTTTTATTCACCCCCAGGGAGGTGGACACCCCCGGAGAGGTGGACACCACAGTTTTGTCTGGTTTTGCAGACAGAACAAGTTGCATACGTAGAGTTTTAATTCTTTCTGGTATTTTCCCAAAGTAAACCAGGGAAAAACTCAACTCTAAGTGATTAATAAAGGAACGTACGTGCAGAGCACTTGAATACCAAGGCAGGTAGTTGTTGCAGAAGCAGTAGCGATCAGCGAGTAATAGTGATACTTACCACCCATATGATGATCAGTCTTCTGGATAAATAAGGGTCAATATTCCAGTAAGTGAACGGGAGAAACGTGATGTAGAACACTTCCTGACCCAAAGCAGCTGAAAATCTGAACAGGTAATAGTAGAAATAGTTCTTCACGACGTACTTCTGTACATAAGCCTGATGAAACAGAAGGGTAGAGGACTGTGAGTTCACTGAACGCGTGGCAACCGAGCCAATTTTGAAACCTCTCTCTGAAAAGCAGGTCTCAGTTGCCAAGGCGCCGCCTCCCGTACCACTACGTCATTCATTACGGATGATCGCATCGGTGTGCGTAGTTGTGGAACATCTGTCGACACATTTCCTTCGCACGATCACAGAAAATATTAGTCCTTCAAAAATTTAAATAAGTCACATCTGAGGCAGAAATATCAGGAAGACACTCACCCACACAAAGCCAAAACCTTTTTCCTGGGTATACAGGAGGATAAGTCACAGCAGCCATGGATAAACTAATAGAAAGACTTAAGGAAAATCAGCTGCCGGTGAATGTTTTTAGTTTACATTTTAAGTGGGACTGAGGCGGCCAACCCAACACAGCAATGGTGCAAGAAAAGTAGCAGAGGCACACCGAGTCTGCTAACATGCACCCCCATTTTCTAGCCTGTTCCCCTCTTATGCTGAAGTAGGAAAAGGCAGGGAAAAGAAAGACTTAAGGGGGTTAAAAGAAGAATAAGCGACCTATTCAAAATATCGTAAATGCCCTTAAGTTACGGCATATTCATGATGAGTTAAGAAATTAAGCATTCTCCTTGCGGTAGTCATGGACTCTACTAAATCAAAGTAAAATGCCAATATTGAAAATGGGGGGGAGGCGGGGAGAAGCAGCCCTACCACCGGGGTGACTTGTCAAGACCCTTGTAGATCTGGATTTTGTTTTGTTGGTTTTTTAATAAAAATTCTGAGGTCCCTGAATCCTGGGGGGATTTCGAGAATAAGGTATATGTATTTACTCTGAACACATTCTTCATGCACCTGTGATGGCCCAGAACCTGTGCTGGGTGCCAAGAGAATTCAGATGAGTCAAGCATGACATCGGGGTTCAAGGAGCTTTTTTCCAGGGGGAGTCAAAGCGTATAATAATTTGGGGCAATGGATTTTTACAGGTCCAACGCTGTGTTTGAGGCCTTGAAAAAGGCCAAGAGCACGTAGTACTAAAAGAATGAAAAAAAAAAGATGACCTTGGAAGTTGCAAGAATATAACTGTAACTGATGCTGTTGGCTGCCTACCCAGCATTCCTTTCTCCTCTCGAAAAGGTTCCTGACTTTATTCCAGCACCTCTACCTCCCCCCACAGAGCCCTGTGACTCAGGGGGAAGCCGACACTGCCCTCAGCTCCAGGGGTGGATCTGTCTGGATTTGTCTCAGCCAGTCACAGAAAGTTCAAGAATTCAGCCTCAAGCCAAGCAATGCACGGCACTGCTGAAAGGAACCGTCAGGGCTGAGCACGTGCTGCAAGCCACAATTTCTTCTCTCTTGGGGATGTACTTTACTTTTCATTGAATTCAAATGAGAGAGAATGGCAATAGATCCACCCTAAACAGGGAAAATAATAATGCACAAAATGAGTTAAATAAGGAAGTGTCTCATTTCATTTTTCTGCCGAAATAATATTATGATTAGATTTGCAAAATAAGGACAAGGGGCTGTGAGAAAATAGGTGACAAACTCCCATCTCTGTTATCTAATCTGAAAACTTATCTCTCTGCAAGTTCTGTTCTATACGTGTAGACCGAACAGGCCCTACCTTCAGGCAAACACTTTAGCGTGAAGATCATTTTAACCTGCCAGCTACCAGCTGCACCTGGTAATCTGTCCCGCATTGAGGCTTTACAAGGAGAACTTGAGCCAAACTCTGACAAGGGTCAGACCTTTCCCTTGTGTCATTTCATGGTTCCCAAGTGCTGTTGACATTGTAAACACTCAGTGACAACCACTTCCCTACCCTGGAGATTTACCTGAGACCAAGTTCAATGATCTTAATCCTAGTAATTGAAAAGACCGTCAAGGATGACAGCAAATTGCTCTTGTGTTCCATATTACTAAGTAATATATTTAGACATGCTTCTTACAATCTCACAGGAATTTTTTTTTTTTTTTTTGGTGGAGCAGGGGCAGATATTCTCTAAATCTTTGAGGAACAGAAGAAGCAAGGGTAAAATTTTAAATATCAGCCCATATAGATAGGACACCTACAGGAGTTTTTAGAGAACTCTGTACATATGATTAAACTTGAGAGCTATTACCTCCAAATTCTTGGGGGTTATTATGTATCGAAATAAAGCAATGAACTACTTCCTCTTTTTTTAAGAATAAGAATCTAAGTTTCCTTGTAGGAAATCTCAGTGTGTACAACTTCAACATATTTTTGGAAATAACAAGAATTTCGGTTCCAGCGTATGTGTTGGTCCCATTGGGAACAATTACAGGGAGAAGAAACATGGGTTAGAAGCAGAAGTGGTCGGAGAGGTCAATGGCAGAAAGAGCTGAGAGGAAGGAAACCAAGCCTCAGAAGCCCAGTGACACAGCTCTGTGAAATTGGCAACGTGTAAGGGGCTGCCGGCCCAGGCTGCGGGGCAGTGTCTCTGGGCACAGACCTAACAGACAGGGATGAGCAGCTAACTTTTTAGACAAAAAAGAAGGCACTGAATGCTGAGGGATAGAGAGAGACTTTTAGCAACCAAAGGCTTCTTAGTATGCCTATTATCTATCACGAAGCCAAATAAAGAAGTTTCTAGGAAACAAGGGATGATAAGCTAGAAATTACTCACAGATTCATTCTAACTAACTGCAACGATAGTCTCGCTTGTTTATTTTATTGGTTGGCTTATTTTCCTGAAAGTTGAAAAACAAAAGCGTTTCCGTAGGTGAGAAAGTGTGATTGCAGTCTCCTAATTGCATCCTGCCTTTTTGGTCGTGGGTTCCTTAAATGCCCATTTTTCTAACATTGGGTTTTCAATAACTTAGCCTGTGGGCCAGAGAGGAGCCACTCTATTTTGCTGTTACCGGGGTATTTGTGTTCTCTGCAAGGTTGCCTTCAATACACAAACAGATTCAGGGAGATGGGGAGCCACGTGGGCTCACCGTGAGGGAAGGAAAAGAACACTGAGAATGTGTCTTTCTGGCTCAGCTCAGCTCTGAACCCCTGAACAGCGTTTTTGTTTTGTGTTGTTTTTTGTTTTTTCCCCCAAGCACACACCAAGGAGTCCTAAATGCGAAGAGAAGTTGGCTAGGTTGGTGCCCAAGGGCTGACCGGCGCAGCGGAGCAGCAAATGCCCAGCAGAGTTTTCAAAGGACGTAAACAAGAAATAGTTTTCAGCCAAAACAATGTGTGACCTCAGGGAAGTCACTTTGCCCTTCTGAACTTCAGAGGCCTCAACTGCAAAGGACAGAGTAGCATGAATTCAGTTGCTTTTTAATAGACAAAAACTTTTAAAACAGGAAAAGGCCCCTTAAATAAAATGGCACCCCAGGCCTATTACACAAAATAAGACTGAAAGTCTGTACTAATTGGTTGAAAGTGAGGGGGCTCAGAGAATCCCTATTTTGGGCCCTGACCACTTCCAGCGCCCCTGGCCCTGCTCTGGAACAGCCCCTCAGAGCAGGTTTGGAAACCAAAGACCTCCGCCTCTGCCAGACGTCACCTACCACGGTCCTAGGTTTACCTTTGGCCCTGAGTACACAGGCTATAGACACACCAACCCTGAGGTCTTTTGATAAACCCTGAAACAAAAGTCATCGCACAATCTTACTACTTTCTCGCTTTGCTCAGTTAAGAGCTACAAACAAGCATTTCTCCAAAGGTCAAGTTTGAGACACTCCTGTATCTCGACAGAGCCGAGGGGAGTCCACGTCTCGGAGGACATCTGCCGCTCTTAGCAGTTCTCTCCAGCTGGATCTCACTCTCCAGCGCTGAGGGAGATGCGATGATTCAGGTCCGACTATGTGCGTAGTCTTACTTAAACATAATCGCAAGGCCCGAAGCTCTTTCGTGGAGAGCACACCGAATAGCAGTGTTCCTTTCATAATAACTTTGCTTCAGAGAAGTTTCAGAGACTGGAGAGGAGGAAGCCAGTGAATACAGGGTGAACTGACCTGCAGAGCAGGAGGGGCCGGGAGGAGGACACCTCTGAGCCCAGTGGCGGGGACCTCAGATGCTGGAGCCAAGAGTCTCAGAGCGAATCCTAGCTGGCGCACCACTCACTACCTGAATAACTTCGGCAATGCCTCACTTTCCCCTTTCAGAAATGTAAATTATACGAGTACATACCACATAGGGATGTTGGGAAGCTTAACTCAGACATTGTTGGCTGCGTATGCAAAGCACTCAGTTCAGACCCTGGTGGAGAAACAGCTCAGTGAGACGCAGCTGTTGGCCGTGACTGACCACCACAGTGGTGAAGATTTCTAGAAATTGCTTCTCAATTCTAATGCGTCTTTGAATCACCTGGATCCTGTTAAAATGCCAATTATGGTGCAGTTCCCCTGGGGCAGAGCTGGTTGTTCTGAGTTCCCAGGTGATGCACGAGCTGCCATTTTCCAGCCCATGGACCACACACTTTGAGGAGTAACGGTCAAGGACTCCCCAGTGAAGGGCTTTTAAACACAAACATGAGGCTCTCAGATTTGACTGTTGGTGTTGGAGAAGGCCCCGATGGGAGTTTAAGGGAACCAGACAATGTGATATCAAAGCAACAGGTGAAAAAGCTGGTGACACACCGGAAGGGAACAGTGAGTGAGTTCCATGCAGGAAGGGAGCCCAGACAGGCACCCTGAGCGCAGAAGCTGCTAAACTAGGGAAAGGCACACCTAGGAGCTGAAATGGCAGCTGGAACAAACTACCAGCTGACGATGCAGAAGGCACTAAGCCATCTCCAGGGTTTGCATAAATTTTTGGATAACATGCAAAGTTACTTAGGTGTCACAGACCTTAAAAAACATTCTTAGCCTTGAGAGACTATCATGATACAGAAAAACAAGCCTCATTTCTGAAAAGGGGCTTTTGCACCTTGTCAGAGTCCTGGCTTGGAAACAAGGCCCTCTGACTCTGCAGGCAGGAACCTCTGTCCTTATGTCCTCTGCTAAAATGCAGGTGGAAATGTGCCTTTTGGTAAAAAATA